AGCTCCGTTGCCCTTCTCTGCCCACGCTCGAGTCATTCAATGGCCTTTTTGGGGTGAGGGGCCCAGAACTGAACCCAGGAATCGAGGGGCGGCCTCCCCAGTGCCCAGCCCAGGGCTCAGATCCCTTCCCTGTCCCTGCTGGCCACGCCAGTGCTGGTACAAGCACATACACCCACTGTGGGTGTGTTAATAGGGTACAGCTACCCTGCCGCCTGCAGAAAACGGAACTTTTTAATACTGGCTGTGTTGTGTAGCCAATTTAAATTCCGACATAATAAAAGCTCTCTAAAATGAAGAGGCTTCCATCGTGAGCTGGAGACCCTGCCTTCCTTCCTCCAAGCCAAACACAAAGCCCTCTGAATCGATCGTGCCTGCAGTAGCAACTGGTGCACTCTGCGGACGTGAGCTCCCACCCTCTCCTTCCCCTAAACACCCGTATTTATGGTGTCAGCTCAGGTCAGGAGACTGTGAAATGTCACCAACAACTGCCCGAAAGGACAACAGAGCAGCGACTTCGTCTCGCGGTCTGCTGGGCACACACATGCTGACCACAGGGCGATAAGGTCCTGGAGGGGTCAAGCGAGTCACTGAATGGGCCACAAAAGGCCAGGGATGTGGGGTGAGGGGCAAGTGCACGGGGGCTTCCCTTAAGAAAAACCCCAAGGCTGCACAACAGGGTGGTTGTTTTAGCAGAGAGGGGCCTTGGCAGTTAATGGCTTTGGCCCCGAGGGCAGGGCAGGGAGCGGAGGAAGTGTTGGGGAGAGTAAATGGGTAGTTAGTAAAAAAGGCAGGTGTAGGGAAGTGGAAGGGAGGGAGCGAGGGGAGCCTGTTCCATGTCAGCAAACCGGAGACATCCTACGCGGTGTCAAAGGCAGACGGCACGGGGAAATTATCCTCACAAAGGGCCCGGGGCAGGCACGCTGTGAAAGGTGTTCGATCCCCACTTCTGAGACCTTGGGCCGGGTATTCATCCCAGATTATACTAACAAGGACGTGGGGAGCGACGCTTTGTTAGCGCGGGGAGCCGGGAGGAGGGGAACGGCCCCAGTCAATGCAATGGAAACCTCGTGGCAGGAGCCAGTCCTGAAAGCAAACTGCGGCGTGCAAAACTCCCTGAAAGGGAAGGGAAGGGTCTGCTCTAACACCGCAGCTCCGGAGAATTCACCTGACACAGAGGGGAGAGCTATTTAGCGAGTAAATCCTAAATTTTCATCATAACTGACCGCAAAGGGATGTTGTGGATGGGCTGGTGACTACGGATTAACCTGAAGAACGTCACAAACTCTGCCCCGGGACCCTACACGGACTTGCACATCACGCACCAAGTGGGGATTGACTGCTACTCCCAGGGTCGAAGCGCTGGGACGTGCTCCTGTCTCTTCAAGATGATGATTTTCACTTGGAAATGCATGCTTAGCGTAGACTCTTGAATCTATTCCCAGAAGGATTTGCACGGGGCCAAGTTAAGAACAGAACGGTGATGAGCGCTCGTCACATCTTAGCGCTACGCCTGACTAAACTCAGAATTCTCCCCTTGAGCTGGTACACAATCCCTTCAGTTGTACTCAAACACGGCCCGACAGAACGTTACACGTTTTTTTAATGCAATACAAGCGAGTTCTTCTGAGCTGAGACACTTTGCCACGAACAAAGAAGTCTCTGAGCATCGAGGAGCGGAAACGGTCGCTCACAAAGACAGCGGTGGCTGCACTACAGACACAGAAACAGTTTTTGAACAAAAAGCAGAGTCGTCTCTATGAAGAGAGGCTTGTTTTATAACAGCACTCAGATAGTTGAGCAGGGGACGGGGGCAGAAATGAGCTGGACTTGCTACTTGCAATTATTTATTCAGTACGGCGAAATTCTTTAGTGCCAGCTTCACCTATTTGCCCCCATATTTTACCTGTACTCAGGGTAACCACGCAGCTGCCTCGGTACTTATCTGCTAATAATACACAAGTCTTGCAAGGAGACTGTAAAAGGGAGAAACAAGAAGCAGGTATCTTTGTAAAAAATGTTATTCCAGCTTTTCCAGGCTGAGGAAGAGCTCTCAGCCTCTTGCTGGCAGCTCCGCCGTCACCTTCGCTCATGACCACGACATACGACGTCCCCGCAGCGGCTGTGTGCCAGCGTCCCAGAGCACGGCCCCTCTGCCCTCGCAGCTACCCCACGTCGGCATCTTTAGGTATTTTTTAGAGAGCAAACACTGCTGGTGAGATTCAGACCACCCCATGGGTGAAACAGCCCCCAGCCTCAAGAGCCACCGGCTCACCCTGCTCGGATCTGCTCGCAGCTCCGCGGTGACGAGGACTTTTCCGCGCCAGCACTCGATGGCTGCGTTGGGGGAAGCCCCCTCGCTCCTCCCACCCCCGTGGCAGCTCAGAGGGTCCTCCCGGAGCACTTTCTCCCACCCACCCGTGCCCTCGGTCAAGCAGCAGCTGGGTTGTGCAGCCGATGTTCACGCGGTGTCTATGGACGCTGCAAACACGGGGCAGGTTGGCCACGTCAGACAAAGGTGCTGGGCTGCACCGTGGCTGATATTTTTGTCTGAGGACTTCCCAGGCACCACACGCACGTGCTCCCACAGCCTACAGAGCAGCTGTCTGCTTTTCAGCTCCCTTCTCTGCAAGAATCCCTGAGGAACCTTGGCTAAATCCGTTTGCAATAGCATTTCTTTCAGTGGCTCCTTTTTTTGGGGGATAATTTATAGCCATGAGACAGGGTTCTGGTATCTGGCAAGCTCCCAGAGAGAAATCCCAACCCAGAGTTAACTGGAATTCAGTGGTATTGAATCTCAACCTTTCACTCTTATTTTTCTCTTTGCAAAAGATAACAAGCATATGGTATAGATGAGCATCAAGGTTCAGTGTTCCTACAATTATTTTTCTTCATCTCTTCTGGGGATGTTTAGCCTTCACAGATGCTACTTTCCATTATCTTTTTAGTTGCTTTCTTAAGGAATGCACCTTACGTGGGCCTGACTTAGTTACCTGCCTGCCCGCTTCCCTAGAATTAACTCCTGAGACACCCACATCAGAAGACTGCGACATTCTTAAAATTTTGGCAGAAAATCAGCATTTGACTGGACAGCTGCTGGAGAGGATCTCCACTGCAGGGACAGGCTGCCAGCATTCCGTAGGCTGCCCTTGGCAGAAGGCTGCTGGCAAGCACATGCCGCGCAGCATCGCTACTCCTTGCTGGTGCAGAGGTGACCCTGCGGGGAAGAGGTGAAATTCTTGCAGGGGAAGGAGCAGCAGGGAAAAAGGCCACGGGCCTGGAAGGATGAAGAACGCTACTGAGTCACTCTGCGGTCTGCAGAACAATCTGCACAGCAGCAGATGCAGCTGACAGAACAGCACCCTGCAGCACTGGCGTGGCCAGCAGGGACAGGGAAGGGATCTGAGCCCTGGGCTGGGCACTGGGGAGGCCGCCCCTCGATTCCTGGGTTCAGTTTTGGGCCCCTCACCCCAAAAAGTCCATTGAATGACTCGAGCGTGGCCAGAGAAGGGCAACGGAGCTGGGGCAGGGTCTGGAGCACAGGTCTGCTGGGGAGCGGCTGGGGGAACTGGGGGGTTCAGTCTGGAGAAGAGGAGGCTGAGGGGAGACCTCCTGGCCCTCGGCAACTCCCTGCCAGGAGGGGGCAGAGAGGGGGGATGAGTCTCTGGAGCCAAGGCCCCAGCGCCAGGCCCCGGGGAAATGGCCTCAAGCTGCCCAGGGCAGGGTCAGGCTGGCTCTGAGGAAGGATTTCTGTGCAGAAGGGGCTGTTGGGCGTTGGAATGGGCTGCCCAGGGCAGGGGGGAGTCCCCGGGATCCCTGGAGGGGTTGAAGAATCGGGCTGAGCCAGCGCTGAGGGATCTGGGGGAGTTGGGAACGGTCAGGGGGAGGGTCATGGTTGGGCTGGAGGAGCTGCAAGGGATTTTCCAACCTCCATAATTTTGGGATTCTGTGATTCTATGATGCAGATACACATTCAGCAGACTCCAGGTCTGGATAATGGCATAACACAGACACAAATGTCACCCTGGGAAAGATCATCAGGAGGGTAAAGATAAAAACCTGTTGTCATGGCAGCACATCTCTATTCTGTTAGCTAAATGCATCTTCTTTTCTTCCTCTACTAGTGCTGATGAGCTTTTTGGCCATAAAGATGGTCGAGCACTGCAACAGGCTGCCCTGAGAGGTCGGGCTGTGTCTGCCCTCAGCCGACCCAGCTGGTGAAAGCCCTGAGTAACGGCGTTTGGCCTCACAGCTGAACTGCTCTGAACAGGAGGTTGGAGTAGAGACCTCCTGAAGTCCCTTCCAACCTGAACAATGCTCTAATCCTACAAGTTTTCATCTCTTTAGTATCACTGAGGTTGGAAAAGACCCTTGAGAACATCAAGTCCAACTCTAAGTATCTCTACAGACCTGTCATCTAGAGCTGAGAGTATGTAAGAGATGAGAGTGAAGCAGGATCCGTGAGGAGAAGAGGTCTGTGCTCTAACCAGGACAACCAAGAACCACACAAGCTCATTTCTCCCAATTCTCCCAAAAGCTGCATGGCCAAGGCACTAACAGCACCTGAGCCTCAACCGTTCCTTGTGGGCACCAGTACCCATCCAGTGCCTCGTCCACAGAGCCGATCCATTCCCTGTAGAGCTGGGGCTCTTTGATTCCATGCCACAAGGTACATAAGGGCTATGACAGATGAGTAAAGTGCAAATTGCAAACCAGAAAAGTTCCGAATACTGAACAGACAGATCAGGAGATGCATCCCCACCAAACTTCAGGAAGAAAGGGAAGACTCAACAATTAAGAGGAGAACAGCCACCAGAAAAACCACTGGAGATGAACGGGAACACAGAAATTAAAAAATAAAGAGGTTAAAGCAAGCAGTGAATCACATCTAATCCTGGCAAGGAAAGAGTGTGGTCCTTCTCCAAGCCCGACGGTTCTGTGGGACTGGGCTACTCAGAAAAAGTGCCCCTGGCCCAGGAGTTGGTCAGAGCTACAAAACTCACCTCCATCCAGCAGCAGCTTGACGGTCAGGTAGTCATCAGCCAGTACAGCATAGTGTAGAGCTGTGCAGCCCTTGAAATTAGCTCGCACGTTCAGGCGGTTGTTGAAGTCATCCTCCCGGGTTACAAGGACTGCAGGGGAAGAAGAAGAAAAGCTCAGCTCATGGAGATAGTCAAAACCTGCTCCTCTGAACGTGCACCAGCAGCACGCACCACCCACCCCGCCAGCCCTGGAAGCTCGTAAAGAGCCTGACAGCCTTTTCCAGGAGACAATCGATTAAGACCTCAGTGGGGGTTTTTGGTGGCTACTGTCCCTACTCCATTGAGCAGCAGTGGAGGTGAAGACAACAGGGTTCCCTCAAAGCTGGTCACGGCCTTCACAGAGCCCAGGCAGGGGAGGAGGTGGCTGGAGAAAGCCCAGAGACCTCTCAGGCTTGCTCCAGCTGCGGCCTCCTTGTGCGTTCAATGTGAAATCAGGAATCAACACAAGCAAGTAATACTTCTGACTTTTTTTTTTCCCCTCTTTTATTGGCCAGCAGGGCCACCAAAACCTATAAGCTGAAACCAACAGGTAAGAGGCAGCAGGGCTAAGGGCCGACAGTGAGCCCGAGGGACAGCAGGTCACTGGGAATGCCTGGGGGAACTCCTCAGGTCAGGCTAAGCCTCCCCATTCCCACTGCTCAGGTGCCCAGCTCCTCTTCCCAGATTCCAAGAATCATCTGCAGTGGAAAAGCCCTTGCAGCTCCTCCAGCCCAACCATGACCCTCCCACTGACCGTTCCCAACTCCCCCAGATCCCTCAGCGCTGGCTCAGCCCGATTCTTCAACCCCTCCAGGGATCCCGGGGACTCCCCCCTGCCCTGGGCAGCCCATTCCAACGCCCAACAGCCCCTTCTGCACAGAAATCCTTCCTCAGAGCCAGCCTGACCCTGCCCTGGGCAGCTTGAGGCCATTCCCTCGGGGCCTGGCGCTGGGGCCTTGGCTCCAGAGACTCATCCCCCCTCTCTGCCCCCTCCTGGCAGGGAGTTGCCGAGGGCCAGGAGGTCTCCCCTCAGCCTCCTCTTCTCCAGACTGAACCCCCCAGTTCCCCCAGCCGCTCCCCAGCAGACCTGTGCTCCAGACCCTGCCCCAGCTCCGTTGCCCTTCTCTGGCCACGCTCGAGTCATTCAATGGCCTTTTTGGGGTGAGGGGCCCAGAACTGAACCCAGGAATCGAGGGGCGGCCTCCCCAGTGCCCAGCCCAGGGCTCAGATCCCTTCCCTGTCCCTGCTGGCCACGCCAGTGCTGACACCAGCCAGGATGCCGTTGCCCTCCTTGGCCCCTGGGCACACTCTGGCTCATTCTCACCCCCCAGTCCCTCTCTGACCGGCAGCTCTCCAGCCACTCCTCCCCAGGCCTGGAGCCCCCCTGGGCGTTGTTGTGGCCCAAGGGCAGCCCCCGGCATTTGCCCTCAGTGAAACTCCCCCAGTTGGGCTCAGCCCGTCGCTCCAGCCTGGCCAGGTCTCTACTCCACACTTCCCAGAAATGTCAAGAAGTAGCCACTGAAAAGCAGGAACTCTTCCAAAAACGCTTCCTTTGTTAACCAAGAAGTACTAACTGCCGCAGAGCACGATACTCAACTGAGTTCTGCTGCTGTCCATACCTACGCGCTTGTCAGCTTTGATTTTGTGCTGAAACTCACTGTTCTTTGGGACTTTCAGCCCATGTTTGCTCAGCCACCCGCACAGCATGCTCCGTGAGGTGCATTCCTCGATGCTCCCAGAATGGGAATAACTCATAATAACACATTTTCCAGCTCACTAAGAAGCCTGGAATCCCCTGAGCAAATGCTATTACACTGAGCCCTGGCAGGTTTTGTGAAATCAGACCTAGAAATAGTGAGGATTGTTTGAACAGAAACCAATGTTTTCAAAAGCTGATTAATTATAATTTTTTCTTCCCCTGAGCTCTACTGAATGCCAAGATGCAACGGAAACCCTGCGCAAGGGAAAGCCCAATGACTTGTTCCTGCAGGCCAGAGCAAAGCTGGGCCACGGTGTTCCCAGGAGGACAGGAGAAGGACTGAGCGGTGAGACAGATCCGCTCAAACATTAAACCTTCTCCAGCAGGTGCAAAATCAGAGTTTGAAGCGCCAAGCGGGAAGATCGAGGAGGGCAGTAAATCACACTGATGTGCAGAGCACAGACTGAATGACGTCTGCAATGGTCCCACCTGAACTTAGACCCGGACACGTGGTGGGAGAGATGAAGGTGCCTCCACTGCCGATGCTCTTAATCAAAGACCTATTTTCAGATGCTCTTTCTGCAACAGGAACAAATATTCTCCCAAGCCAGGAGAAACTCCCTCATGATACTCATGGAATCCCAGAATCATCTTGACTGGAAAAGCCCTTGAAGCTCCTCCAGTGCCACCATGAACTTCACCCTGACCCTTCCCAACTCCACCAGATCCCTCAGTGCTGGGTCAAACTCAGTGATTACTACAAGGCAGCGATGATGTTGGAGAACAGAAGGGAAGTTGTGACAGGAGAGGATGCTGCCACACCATCACTCGGATTTCAGGGCTCCTCATTCTGGGAGTCTCCAGCAGACCAGCCCTTGTGTCCGGGGAGGGCTCCAGCACCCAGGGTTTGCAGGAGGGGTTTGCAGCACTAATACTCCTCTACAGCTGGTCTAAGAGACAGGTTTTTGAAAACCTCCTGGTTTTTAAGCCCTTTGCTCTCGTCATCAGCAAAAACAAACAGTGGAAAAATAATAAAGCAGCTCTTGCTACGTATTGAAGGAAACACCATGCTGCTGATTAGGTGGGAAGGGAGATTTGTGGGAGCAGACACAGCACCTTCATGGTATCAGCCCCTCAAGCATTCAGTGCCCTGGAGTAAGGCCTGACCTAAGGCCTGGCCAGATGGGCAGTCATGGCCATCAAGAGCTTGTGCACTCCCCAGTCAAGGACCCGTCGCTGGCACTGGCCTCACGCCGGACGGGAGGGCAGAGCCTGCCCTCAGTTAGTTGTCAACGAGCTGATGCTAACACTCAGGGCCACGGACATCGACAGGCACTGCACTGTATCTTGATTTAGGGATCTGGTGGAGTTGAGAATGGTCAGTGTGAGGTTAATGGTTGGACTGGACAATCTTCAAGGTCTTTTCCAACCCATATGATTCTGGGATTCTGTAGTTTTTGAGGAAAGGGAGAGTGTTATGCCCAATCCAGAGTTAACGGAGACTGAAGAAGCCCTCACTGAGCTGGGGGAAGGGGCAATACCTGGCCATGACCCTTCCCAACTCTCATAACTTTGGGAAATGAGGATGCCCCACAAGCACACAGCCCCACCATGGAGCCCTGGTGATGGAGGGGCTGGCATGGGCTGTCTCCCATGGAATCAACACCACCCAAATTGTGGGCCAAATCCCGCTCCTGGAGGCGTGCTCAGCTCTGAGGTGAGCGGGTCTATAACCAAAACTCAGTAAAGCCACATTCAGGGACTTCACCATCAGGAAACTGGAAGGGTTCTGAGCTTGTCCCAGCAAAGCACCTCGATTCCTGGGTTCAGTTTTGGGCCCCTCACCCCAAAAAGGCCATTGAATGACTCGAGCGTGGCCAGAGAAGGGCAACGGAGCTGGGGCAGGGTCTGGAGCACAGGTCTGCTGGGGAGCGGCTGGGGGAACTGGGGGGTTCAGTCTGGAGAAGAGGAGGCTGAGGGGAGACCTCCTGGCCCTCTGCAGCTCCCTGCCAGGAGGGGGCAGAGAGGGGGGATGAGTCTCTGGAGCCAAGGCCCCAGCGCCAGGCCCCGAGGGAATGGCCTCAAGCTGCCCAGGGCAGGGTCAGGCTGGCTCTGAGGAAGGATTTCTGTGCAGAAGGGGCTGTTGGGC